GGCAAAGGAATGAAACTTGTAATATTAAGGAAATAATTGTTCTTTTGGCACAAAATCTTCTAATTTGAAAACCACTATACTGATATAATAATAGTGTTATGGGGTCCTCCCCTTTTTCATATAAGTGGACTCAACCAGAGTGTTACTTGAACGGCTGCCGTTAAATACCCAGAGTCAGTCAGAATATATAGAGAGAGATTGGGGGAGTGAGCAGAGATTGTGATTGAGTTGGAGGTAGAGTAATAGTGTGAGGTAACCGCTTGTAGAAGTCAGTTACAAGCACGTAGACTCTAAGGAAGTCATATTTCGAGACTATATATATATATATATATATATATATATATATATATTATTATTATTATTATTATTATTGCGACCAACCACGTTCCTGCATTTACTAACATTATACCCATTGTGTAAATACATTTAATTTCTTATCTTTAATTCTTGTGTTTGTCATTCATTGGAGACCGAATTTCATCTCGAAATCCACAACAAATAGTAATAATAATAATAATAAGCTGTCAAAATACAAGGACCTTGAAATAGAAATCTAAAAAATGTGGCACATGGGAACATCAACAATCCCTGTTGTAGTTGCAGCCCTAGGATTGGTTGGAAAATATTCCAGTAGACTAATTGAAGGGATTCCTGGAAGCCCATGCCTAAAAGAGATACAAAAAATAGTTCTGACAAGTACAGCCCACACTTTACGAAGGGCTTTATCTATGTAATTTTTTTTTTTTTTTGTCAGTAGAAAGTGTCATTTCTAACCTTAGGTCTCTAGGCGTGAAATGTGTAAACGCCAGAAATCAAAGAAAATAATAATAATAATAATAATAATAATAATAATAATAATAATCTTGTATCAGGTTGCACGATATTGGCACCCACTGAGTATAAAACCCGGCATGACAGAGTGGGACAATATCTGCACTGGAAAATCTGCAACTTCTACGGGAAGGAAATTTGCCCTCTTTACTACTCTCAAGCTGTTGGACCACAAGAGATGTTAACTTTAAAACAAAATCAAAGGGTTAATACTAACGTCAATACTAGCAGAACAGTTTAATTTGTCTGCTCTGATTTTTTTCCTCTACAAAACTTAAAAAAAGTATGTGGGGTGGGGGGCAACCTAGGGGCCAGCCAAAGTTCGGGGAGGGCATTGGCCTCTTCTGCCCCGTCGTAGATTGGCCATTGATTGTGTTGCTGTTTGCCATACAAACGCACTTGGAGAGACGTAGACGGACAGCGTAAGAATTAATGCTTAGAAGAAAATGCTGCTGGCGATCAGGAAAAGTTCGGAAATGATCATTGAGGCGGAAGACCTATGGCGAGGCACCTCATTAAGAAAACTGGATAAACTTAATCATAGGATGCTCAAACGATGCAGAAACACGGTAAATAGAGGCGACAAGCTCAACCCAAGGATTCAACAGCAGTTGAACAAATATAAAGTCGAAAGTGTGCTTATGTCTATTTGTGGATGCATAGAGATGTCAGCTAAGAAGCATGGACACTAATAATAATAACTAGCAGTAGAGCCCGGCGTTGCCCGGGGATGTAACAGTAAGAGATAGATCAAGTATCGACCATCATAAAGACTGAAAAATAAAATTGACAAAGATTATTGTTTAAGGTTGACGGACACGCATGTTTTAATTAGTTTTTTTTTTTTTTTTTTTTTTTTTACGAATTTGTCAAACCCAAACTCAAACAAAAACAGTGTTTTCAATCGTTATGAGTCTACTGATTGAATAGAATTTTATTATAAACAATTGTCTTGTAAATGGAATTTTTTAAAGCATTCTGAATGTAAAAATAAAAGAAAAAAAGTGTGCAAGAAAATAAGAAACATTACCTGCCAAAAAAAAGCTGAAGTTTTGTTGAAATCGGTTGAAAAATGTAGGAAACTGATCCCATATATAAACGAACACACACACACACACAACACACACACACACACACACACACACACACACACACACACACACACACACACAAACAACCTGGGTTTTATAATAAGTATAACTCGATATGAGTTGTCCCCCTTTCATTCTCGTGATGCCTCTTAATCGTGTTTTCAAATTGATTTCATTGCAAAAACAATTGTGTTTTTCCAATTTTTTGGCGCTGTCAGAACCATGCAAGGTAATTTTCCGTAGTCCTGTGAAGTTTTGTTGAAATCGGTTGAAAAATGTAGGAAATCCGATCCAATATATAAACGTACAGGCACACACACACACACACACACACACACACACACACACAACCTGGGTTTTATAATAAGTAAGATAATAATAAAACACTTATTTCATAGAATTTCTTGTCAGGCAAATTAATGGCAGTAGAAAAATACTGTATAACGCGTTTCGATCACGTCTTTATTTTTTATATGCCCTGTCCCTTCAGGATGTAGGAGATAATGGCTCCCCACATCTTCTTTTCCCTTGTATCTCTTAATAAATTTTGTCTTTTTGTTATCTCTTCCCAAATCTGTTCCATCATCCATTTACTCAAGCTCATTCTTCTTCCATGTGTCGCGTCCCTTCAGGACGTTGATGATCATGGCCCTCCACATCTTCTTTTCCCTTGTATCTCTTAATAAATTTTGTCTTTTTGTTATCTCTTCCCAAATCTGTTCCATCATCCATTTACTCAAGCTCATTCTTCTTCCATGTGTCGCGTCCCTTCAGGACGTTGATGATCATGGCCCTCCACATCTTCTTTTCCCTTGTATCTCTTAATAAATTTTGTCTTTTTGTTATCTCTCCTAAAGCTTGTTCCGGCATCAATATACTCAAGCTCATTCTTTTTCTTCTATGTACCGTGTCCCTTCAGGAGGTAAGAGATCATGGCCTTCCACATCTTCCTTTTCCTTGTAGCTCTTAATACGTATTGTCTTTTTGCCATTTCTTTCCCTCAATCTGTTTCTTGAGTATCAGAATTTCTAACCGTCCTGGGTATGACGATAAACTACATCCAGCAGCAAAGTCTCTGTTTGGGAAGTTTTGAGGAGTGTGCAACTACCTCTTGATTGCTGTTGTTCCCAGGTCCACCCTAACTCTGGGTGGTAGCACCTGTTAGGGTCCCAGCTATGGGCACATAGTTAACCCCCAAACTTGTGTCAAAACCCCATGAAAGTATAAAAATAGATTTTTATAGTTAAAATGCCAGCAATGCATTTTTGAAAAAAAATTACCAGCAATAACTTTGACTCTCAACAAAAACCCCCTTTACAAAAATACGCCAATGAAACCTGATCTACAAACTAATTTCTTACAAAGAATACATATTCTATTCATACGAATCTATTCTAGAAACTTGTCGGGATTAAATAACCCATTGAGGGTGATATACCGTAAAACAAATTAAACCAAACTAAATAGTTTTCCCAAGCACCCATTCCTCATTAGGCGCCCCAGAAATTTCAACTGCCTCTTCCTGATGTTTCCATTTTGTTTCCATTTTCTCCAAAACCTCATTGTTGCTTACATGTTCGGTTCAGGATGGTATCCTCAGCATCTTTCTGTAGAACCACATTTCTATTGCTTCAAGTTTCTACCTCAACTATGACGATATTGTCCAGCATTCACAGCCATATAAGAGGACTGATATTACATAACAGTTCAGTACTCTTTTCTTTGTTTCTCTTGCTTCAAGTCTCTTCTTCATCTGTGAGGAGATTGTCCAGCATTCACTGCCATATAGGAGGACTGATATTACATAACAGTTCAGTATTCTTTTCTTTGTTTCTCTTGCTTCAAGTCTCTTCTTCATCTGTGAAGAGATTGTCCAGCATTCACTGCCATATAGGAGGACTGATATTACATAACAGTTCAGTACTCTTTTCTTTGTTTCTCTTGCTTCAAATCTCTTCTTCATCTGTGAGGAGATTGTCCGGCATTCACTGCCATACAAGAGGACAGATATGACATAACAGTTCAATTCTCTTTTCTCTTTGGTTCTAACGAATTTCATGTCTCTTGAAACTCTGCGAGAAGGAAATAATCAGACTAAAATAATTGTTATTTTGCAACGGTTTTTTTCATCAACTCGAGATTTTTCCTGTTAAAAAATTGACACGTTTACCATTATGGATAAGAAATAGTGAATTTTATATATATATATATATATATATATATATTTCGAGACTTAACAAGAGTAAAATCAATTCACAGAAAAAATACCCACAGAATACGTCAAAATCCGCGAAAATTTTTCATCCTTTAATAATTGGTTGTGCTTAGTTTAATTTCTAACATATATAAATGTAGGTAAAAAAACAAAGCAAATGTTGATAGAATAGCAAGGGTCACAAAGCGCTACGTGGAGCTCCCAATAAGGCTTGCTCTCATCCCGGTAGGGAGGGGTCGGGGTAGTATATGGGGGATATATATAAAAATGCGATCGTCTATGTACCGAATAGAAATTATGGAGGCGAGGGAACGCTGAAATTTAGATTTAATTTTTTTTCACTCGACTTAATCGGACGTCATTAAACATATAAATCAAATATTATAAAGTGAACATTTCAGATAAAATTTCAACTAATGACTCTCAAATTATAGACATTGATGTAATTACATATGTGTGCGTGCGTAGTCGAGCTTGTGTGTGTAGGTGTATGAGTATATACGTATATTTATTTTTATATGAAGTTAAGACAATAAAACAGTCTTTCTTCTTTCCTCCTCTTTCTTTCCTTCTCCCCACTTTAAATCTTTCTCTTTCCTTCTTTCTCACCACACATATGTGTCATTCTCTCTTCTTATCCACTCCTTTCTGTCCTTATCTGTGCCCTTGTCACCATTTTACCTCTCTCTTTCCTCCTCACTCTCTCCACCTATCTGTATCCTTTTTCCTCTTTCCACTCCTCTCTTTCCTTCTCACTTTTTCCCATAATTCCACCACTCTTTCCGTTTCTCCTCTCTTTGCTACTCTCTCATTCTCTCCTCTCTCCACACCCTTGTTTCTTTCTATCCCCTCTCCACCCATCTATGTCCTTCTTTCCTCTTTCCACTCCTCGCTTTCCGTCTCATTCTTTATATTTCCACCACTTCCACCTCTTTTTCCTTTTCTCCTCTCTCTGCTACTCCGTCTCATTCTCTCTTCTTTTTACTCCTCCGTTTGCTTCTATCCTCTTTCCATTCCTCTATGATATCCCCTCTTTCCGCTTCCTTCTCTCCTCTATCCACTCCCCCGTTTCTTTCACTCGAATTTCCACTCCTCCGTTTCCTTCTCTCTTCTTTCCACATCTCTATCTCATTCTCTCCTCTTTCCACTCCTCGTTATCATTTTCTCCTCCTTCCATTCCTCGGTGTCCTTCTCTCCTCCTTCCACTCCTCTCTTTCATTCGCTCCTCTTTCCATTCGTCTGTGTCCTGCTTTCCTCTCTCCACATCTTTATTTTTCCACCCCTATTATCCCCTCTTTCTACTCTTCTGTCGCATTCTCTTCACTCTCCACCCCTCTCTTTCTTTCCTTCTCACTTCTTTCCACTCCTCTAATTTTGATACTCCTCTTTCTCGCCAATTGGATTATCTCAACTGTCCATTCTTCACGTCCCATGTGTGGTGTTTGGCAAAATATCCTATTGCCCGGGTCTGTTGGCCGGCCCCACGCATAACCAAGATTTAACTCCCTGCAATTTCGGTCTTTTCCCAACGCTAAAATCAGCACCGAAAGACATTTTAATATGTGACGTGGAAAATGATGACGGTCGTTAAAGAAAACCTTGGAGATTGTTTTGAAAATTTAGTTTGGTTTGTTTTTACGGAATATCAATCTTTTCCAGGTCATCTCGTCCAGAATTCTGTCCTTTCGATAAGCAATAGAAAAGTCAACGGGGACTTGATTTGTACGTGGGTTAAAAAAATAGGCATAGCTTCGGTTTAGACAAAAGTTAAAACAGCAGACCTACGGTCAGTTTACATAAAGAGTGAAAAAATATGTCTAATTAAAATTACAATCATAAAGCTAGATATAGATCAGGTTTAAACTAGAGTCAAAAAAGTCGACATAGTTCAGGTTGACACTAGATTCTCAAAAGGTCGACATAGGTCATGTTTAAACTCGATCAAAAACGTAGATATGTTAGTTTAAGCTAGATTCAGAAAGGTACACATAGGTCAGGTTTAAACTAGGGTCAATAAGCTAGACATAAGTCTGGTTTCAAAAAGGCAGACAGATCAAGTTTAAACTAAAGTCAAAAAGGGAGACATAGGTCAAGTTTACGCTAGAGTCTCAAAAGGTCATGTTTAAACTCGAATCAAAAAGGTAGATATGTCAGTTTAAGCCAGATTCAGAAAGGTACACATAGGTCAGGTTTAAACAGGTGTCAAAAAGGTAGACATAGGTCAGGTTTAAACTAGAACCAAAAAGGAAGATATAAGTCAGGTTTACACTTGTCAGTAGATTGATTCAGTGATTGATTTGTCATTTTTTACGGTTTATCAACCGCTTTTCAGGTTATTTAATGCCGAAACATATTTTATATTCTAAGATTTTTTTTCAAATCTTGTTTGTGTATAACAATGACTATTTCCACATAAATATATCACACTTTAACCCATAAGTAGGGAGAAGTGATAGACTCATATTTTCCCCTAGTGTATTAGGGTGGAAGTGAATGTCAATAATGTAGACATCGGCCCGGTTTACACTATCGTCGAAAAAGTAGACATTGGTCGAATTTACATTTGAACCAACTATGTGGACATAAGTCAGGATTACACTAGTCAAAAAGGTAGACGTAGATCCGGTTTGCGCTACAGTCGGAAAGGTGAAGATCATTCCAGTTCGTCAGGGTCACTGCAGAAGACAAGTGTCTGGTAAACACTAGTTTGTACTTCCATTAACACTATCTCAGCTGACGCTTCAACGAAACTGTTCTCTTTAATCCACCACAGAGATCCCCCCGGCCTTCCATCAGAATGGCTGATTACCAACTCCTTGAGAGCGCCTTTTTACGCCTCCCTGGTCTCACGTTGTCCACTGACATGAGGTGGAACAAATGCATTGAATCAATAGCTTCATCTACTGCAAGGAAAGTTGGCTCTGTGTGTCGTGCCAGAAAGTTTTTCTCGTCTGAGTCCATCCTTCAAATCTATAAATCAACCATCCGTCCTTGCATGGAATATTGCTGTCATATATGGTCTAGTGCCCCCACTGTACGTCACGAGGTCCTTGACAAAATCTAGAGACGAATATGCAAGATGATAAGTCCTGATCTGGCATCTAGTCTACAATCTCTATCCCACAGACGTGCCGTAGCCTCCCTCTGTCTATTCTACAAATATTTTCACGGCAACTGTTCCGACGAGCTACTTTTGCTGGTTCCCGGACTACATGAATTTAAACGTGCTACCAGGCTGGCATCTCGGTCTCAAGGGTTTCTCCGTCAAAACGGTTAAATGTAACCGTCTTTTCTTCTTAAACAGCTTCTTCACCTGCACTTCCCATCTGTGAAACTCCCTTCCCCTTACTTGCTTCCCCGATGACGATGATCTTCAAATATTCAAGTGTAGTGTCAATCGACATCTGTCACCCTGAACTTGTTCCCCGTCCTTCTCTGTATCTTTTCTCAAACGTTTGTAACACCTTGCGTGCTAGTGGCACTCCCGCCTTGCTTGGGGTGAATTGCCTTAAAAAATAAATTTTATTACCATTATTTATTCTTAACTTAAGCTGTATTGACTGACCTGTGTGGCCGACCGTTTACTCCAAGTAGCATTGGCACAATAAGAAATCATTGACTTTGGAATACAGAGCACGATAAATTAACAGGATAAATAAGGATTACAGTGGCTAAAGCCAAGTCAGTCATCAAGCGATTATTTCGGATTATCGATTGAGAAAAATCAATATCTGCTGGACAGTTTCAATTCAGGAGGATTTGATATGAAGATTTTAATTTGGAAGATACTGACAATTGCCCCGAAAAATCAATGTCCGTATCTTCTACAGAATATGTTGGGAACGAGTGTATAATATCATTGTTCAAAACACAAAAGGACCTTGTGTGTTCGATCTGTTGGGTTGGTAATGTTCCGTATATAGTATCCTTTCTACCATTTAATAGATTAGACATTAGAAGATACAATGGAAGAATAACGGATGTAGAGAGGGAGAAAGAAAAGTTGGGACAAGAAGAATTATAATATAGATTCTAAAATAATATTTTGAATGTTGTAGAATCTTGTCTGATCGTTCACAATACAATAATATCACGAAAGAGAAGAAGAAAAAAGAATGATGACGAAGAAGAAGGAAAGTCAAAGAAGAAGAAGAAAAGTCGAAGAGGAAAAGTCGAAGAAGAAGAAGAAAAGAAGAAGAAGAAGAAGTCAAAGAAGAAGAAGAAGTCAAAGAAGAAGAAGAAGAAGAAGAAGAAAAGTCGAAGAGGAAAAGTCGAAGAAGAAGAAGAAGGAAAGTCAAAGAATAAGAAGAAAAGAAGAAGAAGGAAAATCAGAGAAGAAGAAGGAAAGTAGAAGAAGAAGAGAAAAGGTCAAAGATGAAGAAAAGGAAAAGTCGAAGAAGAAGAAAAGCCGAAGGAGAAAAAGAAAAAGAAAAGTCGAAGAAGATGAAGAAGGAAAGTCGAAGTAGAAGAAGAAGAAGAATAAAAGTCGGAGTAGAAGGAGAACAAGAAGAAGAAAAGTTGAAGTCGAAGAAGAAGAAGAAAAAGAAGAGGAAGAAGAAGAAAAGTCGAAGAAGAAGAAGAAGAAAAAGAAGAAGAAGAAGAAGAAAAGTCGAAGAAGAAGAAGAAGAAGAAGAAGAAGAAAAGTCGAAGAAGAAGAAGAAGAAAAAGAAGAAGAAGAAGAAAAGTCGAAGTAGAAGAAGAAGAAGAAGAAGAAGAAAAGTCGAAGTAGAAGGAAAATCAGAGAAGAAGAAGGAAAGTAGAAGAAGAAGAGAAAAAGTCAAAGATGAAGAAAAGGAAAAGTCGAAGAAGAAGAAAAGTCGAAGAAGAAAAAGAAAAAGAAAAGTCGAAGAAGATGAAGAAAAGCTGAATAAGAAGAATAAAAAGTCGAAGAAGAAAAAATTCGAATAGGAAAAGAAGAAAAGTCGAAGAGGAAAGTGGAAGAAGAAGAAGAAGAAGAAGAAACAGAAGAAGAAGAAGAAGAAGAAAAAGAAAAGTCGAAAAAAGCGAAGAAGAAAAAAAGTCGTTGAAGAAGAGAAAAGTCGAAGAAGAAAAGTCAAAAAAAGAAGATGAAGAAGAAGAAATATCGAAGAGGAAAGAGAAGAGGAAGTAAAGTCGAAGAAGAAGAGAAAAAATCGAATGAGAAAAAAGTCGAAGAGAAAGAAAAATCGAAAAAATGAAGAAAAGTCGAAGAAAAGTCTGAAGAAGAAAAAAGAAAAGTTGAAGAAGAAATCTCGAAGAAAAAGAAGAAGAAAAGTGGAAGAAGAAGAAAAATGAAAGAATAAGAAAAATTCGTATGGTTTTTGTAATGTGATAGAAAAAACTAACATAACATATACAGGAATTACTGGCCTATAATACGCATGATTTACAGGTATGTATTAAATTACTTAAGTCAGGCACAAAGCTATGGATCCCCAAAGACATATCGAATTCATTATGTTAGCGATTGCATTTGAAATAAGCTTGCTTAGTACTGTTGTATGGCAATGCAGGCACCACCTATAGATAATTAAGTTTGATACTACTTAGGATCGATCTCACAATATGGCGTCTTACTAGATTAAATGCCCCATATTTATATTATACATAGTTATTTTTAAACTATTTCGTTTGTTTCTTTCTATTTTTTAATCATTTTAGCCTGAGGAAGGCAATAAAGTAACTAAGGCACAAGAAGGTGGGTACTGAGCGTGAAAGAATATGAGACAAAGAGAAACATTATTAAGGTGAGAGAACGATAAAAAGACAAAAATTAAGAAGACAGAAGATAACGATTGACATTTCATTGAATTTTTTGAAGATTAAAGTTGACTTTAATGTAAGAAGAGAATTAGAAGACTTTAGTGAGGGGAAAGGACAATAAAAGAAGAGGAATTAAGAAAACAGAAGATAACGATTGACATTGCATTGAAATTTTTGAAGATCAAAGTTGACTGGAAAGTAAGAAGAGTGAAAAAGCATTAGAAGACTTTAGTGAGGGGAAAGGACAATAAAAGAAGAGGAATTAAGAAGACAGAAGATAACGATTGACATTGCATTGAAATTTGTGAAGATCAAAGTTGACTGGAAAGTAAGAAAGAGTGAAAGAGAATTAGAAGACTTTAGTGAGGGGAAAGGACAATAAAAGAAGAGGAATTAAGAAGACAGAAGATAACGATTGACATTGCATTGAAATTTGTGAAGATCAAAGTTGACTGGAAAGTAAGAAGAGTGAAAGAGAATTAGAAGACTTTAGTGAGGGGAAAGGACAATAAAAGAAGAGGAATTAAGAAGACAGAAGATAACGATTGACATTGCATTGAAATTTTTGAGGATCAAAGTTGACTTTAATGTAAGAAGAGTGAAAAAGAATTAGAAGACTTTAGTGATGGGAAAGGACAATAAAAGAAGTGGAATTAAGAAGACAGAAGATAACAATTGTCATTGCATTGAAATTTGTGAAGATCAAAGTTGACTGGGAATGCAAGAAGCCAGAAGTGAGTTCCACAAGCGAGAAATGCGAGAAACGAAACACTTAACATAGAACTTATGTTTTTAGCTATTTCAACTGTAAAATATTCATACAAATGGCACAGGGAATCTGTGTTCCGGCGCTGGAAAAGTGAGGGAATCTGAAATGCCAGGTTAAAACCAATAACATTGCAGATTCTTTGGACTTTATCAGGACTCTGTGAATACATACCAGAAGCACAAGACCCGATATAGTAGCAATTTTCAATACACCCACGAATGGTTGACTTATAACTCTGCAAGTAAGTTTCTGAGGAGAATAAATGTCACAGTATACCAACTTTCTTAGTAACTTTCCTCTTAGAAAAAGAAAGCCTTCGTGCTTAATCGAGTCGTAAACAAAATCGGCAAAAGGAATTCAAGTGACGGCTGTCAGCTAATCGAAAATCTTGGGAAGAAGAATTTAAACAAGGTGATGTTTTCTCTGGATCAGTTGACAGAGCTTGAGATGTAGAGGGTGTCGAGATTTTACAAGTCGATTAACGAACCTTCTGCATTTGACATTTGAAATCAAAGTCTCATTCGTCGTCTGCAAGAAGCTGTCAACTCAGTAACACTTGAAAGAGAAGCGGTAATGACGCTTCTTTAGCAGGACACTGGTCTGGTTTTACGAGTGGGTGTGAATCTGCGTCATCTCTTTTCACGCTTGCACGGTTTGAGTTGTGCTAAATATAGCTGACGGAGATTTATCAATTTCCAGTAAATTAATTCCTTGGCAAAATTTGAAATTCTGAATTCTTCCAGGAATTGTTGGAACCAATATTCTCATTTAAAAAAAAAACAAAAAAACATTTCATCCCAAGCAAGGCGATAAAGTCACTAAGACGTAAGGGGGGGGGGTGGATACTGAGAATGAAAGAAGCAGATAGTACAATAAAAGAACAAGTTTCAGGGAGTCAAAAATGGCGATTGACATTGCCTTTAAATTTTTGTGGATCGCAAATTAAACTATTAGTATAGATCTAATATTCCCCACTGAATCAAGTGCATTAACAAGGAAGGAGATCATGTTGAAAAAGATTGGCACATTGTTATTAACCAATTTTGATTTGAAATCTTTTACAGAATAATGTTAGATCTAGGTAATTAATATTCGCTACTGAATCAAGTGCATTAACAAAGATGAAGATAATTTTGAAAATGATTGGAGCATAGTTATTAAGCTAATTTTGATCTGAAATCTATTACTGTATAATGTTTGATTGTATGTGATTAATATTTCCCACTGAATCAAGTGCATTAACAAGGAAAGAGGTTATGTTGAAAATGATTGGATCATAGTTATTAACCTAATTTTGATCTGAAATTTTTAATGTTTAATGTTCAATCTATGGGATTAGTATTTCTTAGTGAATCAAGTGCATTAACAACGAATGAGATTATGTTGAAAAACATTGGCACATTGTTATTAAGTGAAATTTGAACTAAAATCTTTCACTGTATGATGTTCGCTCTATATGATTAATATTGACCACTGAATCAAGGGCATTAACAAGTAAGGATATTATGTTGAAAAAGGTTGTCACATAGTTCTTTGCTGAAACTTGATCTGGAATTTTCACTGTATAATGATGTGTTTAAATGATTAAATAGACCACAGATTAAATTATTACCATATAACATACTGTGGAACTAGCAATTTCAACAGAAAAATTATAAGATCTACTGGTCAATATTGCTCTTAAATTCGTATAGTCGAAGTACCAAAGAGGAAGGCTCATCAGTACAATTATCGTGGGAATGTTTTTAGAAAAGGCAGAGTGAAGTTACGTGATGGCGGTGGGAAACTGACTGTAGCAAAGATGCCAGGTTAGGACCGATAAGATTGCAAATTCTTCTTTGGTTTTTGTAAAGAATCACGAGATATATAACAGAAGTAGCAGACGAGATGTTTAAACAATTTTCGAAACACAGACGAATAGCAGACTGATACATGATAAATATGTAAAGTGAGATTCTGTCAGGAAAAAAATATGCTGCTTGTAGAACTCTTTTCCGGTTCTTGCTCTTCGCCGAAACATAGCTTCCCTGTGCCTTTTCTTTGAATATTTTGCAGTTGAAATACCTAGATTCTATGTTAACCGTTTCGTCTCTCGCACTTCTCACTTGTGGAACTATCTTCTGGATATTCCAAGTCAACGATATTTATTATGATTTACAAACTATATATATATATATATATATGTGTGTGTGTGTGTGTGTGTGTGTGTCTGTGTGTGTGTAAAGCAGACTCTTACCCTTAAAGTATAAATTACATACAAAATATTTAGAATGCAGCATTAAATAACCCATAGAGGTGTTGATATGCCGTTAAACAAAATAAACCAACCAACAATCCATATTTAAATCAAAATGACCAACAATACATTTTATCTGTAGTTGAAGGCATACAATTGGGTTCAAAATATATTTAGTTGAAGCCATAAAATTGTGTTCAAAATATTTAGATTTCTGCATTAAATAACCCATAGAGATGTTGATATGCCACTAATGCAAATCAAACAACCAACACTAACTAGTTTAAAGGAAAATGATCAGCAATATATTTTATCTGTAGTTGATGGCATACAATTGCGTTCAAAATATATTTAGTTGAAGCCATAAAATCTGCGGAGAAATTATTTAGATTTCGGCACTAAATTACCCACAGAGGTGTTGATATGCCGCAAAAAAAAATAAAAAAATAAAAAAATAAAGCAAACCAACCAACATAATCCTCGAATCCCTTCTTCTTTATCTGTCCAATAAATTTCTTTTTTAATTCTGAGTAATTTTATTTTTTTATTTTTCATTTTCCTTAAGACTTCTTCCTTAGGACCACATTTCTATTGCATCCAGTTTTCACTTCATCTCTGAGGAGATTGTCCAGCAATCTCTGCTTTTTTAAAAAAAAAAAAAGTATTACCAGCACTATTTTTTTTTTAAGGAAAAAGTATTACCAGCAATACTTTTTTAAAGAAAAAAAAGTATTACCAGCAATACTTTTTTTTAAAAGAAAAAAAGCATTACCAGCAATACTTTTTTTTAAAAAAAAAAAGTATTACCAGCAATACTTATTTGAAGGAAAAAGTATTACCAGCAATACTATTTTAAAGAAAAAAAGTATTACCAGCAATAGTTTTTTAAAGAAAAATGTATTACCAGCAATACTTATTTGAAGGAAAAAGTATTACCAGCAATACTTATTTGAAGGAAAAAGTATTACCAGCAATACTTTTTTAAAGAAAAAGTATAGCCAGCAATACTTTTTTTAAAGAAAAAAGTATTACCAGCAATACTTTTTTAAAAAGAAAAAACGTATTACCAGCAAAACTTTTTCGAAGGAAAAAGTATTACCAGCAATACTTTTTTGAAGGAAAAAGTATTACCAGCAATACTTTTTTTTTTTTAGAAATAAAAGTATTACCAGAAATACTTTTTTTTAAGAAAAAAGTATTACCAGCAATACTTTTTGAAGGGAATAGTATTACCAGCAATACTTTTTAAAGAAAAATTATTACTAGCAATACTTTTTTTTAAAAGAAAGTATTACCAGCAATATTTTTTTGAAGGAAAAAGTATTACCAGCAATACTTTTTTAAAGAAAAAAAGTATTACCAGCAATACTTTTTTTAAAGAAAAAAAAGTATTACCAGCAATACTTTTTTAAAGAAAAAAAGTATTACCAGCAATACTTTTTTTAAAAGGAAAACTTATTACCAGCAATACTTTTTTTTAAAGAAAAAAGTATTACCAGCAATACTTTTTGAAGGGAAAAGTATTACCAGCAATACTTTTTTAAAAGAAAAAAAGTATTACCCGCAAAACTTTTTTGAAGGAAAAAGTATTACCAGCAATACTTTTTTAAAAGAAAATAAAGTATTACCAGCAATACTTTTTCGAAGGAAAAAGTATTACCAGCAATAATTTTTTTAAAGAAAAAAGTATTACCAGCAATACTTTTTCGAAGGAAAAGTATTACCAGCAATACTTTTTTGAAAAACACTAAATATTAGCAGCAATAAAAATTTTATCGGGATTAAATAACCCATTGAGGTTGATATGCTTTTAAACAAACCAAATTTCGGTTAATAACTATGTGCCAGACGATTTCAACATAATGAACTTCCTTGTTAATGCACTTAATTCAGTGGAGAATATTAATCACATAGATGGAACATTTTACAGTTAAACATTTCCGAGTAAAATTCAGTTAATAACTAAGTACCAATTTTTTTTCTTGTCTGAATTTCTGGGATGAGTAATTATCGTTATTTCCACTATTTACATTCGGACTATTGTCCTCATCTTTGTTGTTTTTATCACATCATTTCGGACGTTGTGCGCCCCGGCCTTCCTCACATGTAGGTAACCTACAGGGAATTCTGAACCGAACCCTTTATTTGAGGCAACATCTCTGACGAGCTTTCACCCTTGGTGACCCGAATTCATGAATTTAAGCGTGCTACTAGTTTGAAATCTAAGTCCCACCCTTTTACTGTTGAAATAGTTAAATGCAACCGCCACATCTACTTTAGCAGTTTCTTCTGTCGCACTTCCTACCTGTGGAACTCCCTTCCGTTAACTTACTTCCCTGATAACTACACTATCTTTAATACAATGATCAATAGTTATATATCCTTCATATCCTCTTAATATTATCTTCGTAGAACCTTTTTTAACATTCGTATCACATATTTCATTCAGTAATCCTCTGCCTTAAGTGGCTTCTGAGTTTTGTATTGGATGGACTTTAGAGAAAAAAGTCTGGCAATACTGTTGCGAGGAATTTAAAAATATTTGTTCTTCTTTCCTGTTATACTGAGAGTTTTGGGGTGAAAGTTTTATGAGGAAATCGCTCCCAAAGTTTCCAGGATTTTCTTCCCTTCTGGAATGGTCAGCGGCGTGTCTTTTATTTAAAAAAATACAAACATAAAAACAGAAACAGGGAAACATTAAATGTAAGTTCGAAGAATACGTGTTCTACAGAAGCTAGTAATCGGAAAATAGATGATGAGTGTTTTCTTTGGCGAGTTTGAATAAAGAATTCTTGAAAAGAAGGAAGAAGGAAGATGATTTTCTACTCCATGGAACAATAAAAAGACTACTAATAAGCAAAAAGAGGACATATTCCTTCCACTCATAAAACAATCACGTTATTCCTGTTTTTTGTTTTTATTCTTCTTAAGACGGTATTACTGAAGAAACAGTGTTAATGTCGACTTTCTCAAACGCCTGGCTGAAGGCAAAGAATGAATACAAATGGTAAGAAAAAGAAAATAAAAAATTGACAAAAATCGAGCGGGAAAAAAGGAGAGTTATTTTTAACCAATCAGCAACCGAGAAGCTATTCAATAGTTAAATACTTGGCAGTTTAAAAATGGACGTAGAACATTGCTGTCAGAGACAAAAAAAGAACACACAGACAAATAGAGAGAGAGAGAGAGAGAGAGAGAGAGAAAGAGAGAAAAAGAGAGAGAGAGAGAGGAAAAAAGAGAGAGAGAGGAAGCATACAGGAACAAAGAAAACGCAGTGTGTGGAGAGAGAGGGAATTTGTGGGAGAAGTAGGGAGAGGCCATGGAGATAGATAGATATGACCTACACAGATCAAAAAAGAGTAAGGAAAGAGTAAAAATGTCGTGAAGGAGGGGAGAGAGAGAGAGAGAGAGAGAGAGAGAGAGAGAGAGCATACACGAACAGAAAGAAAAAACAGAGGTTAGACAAAGAAAAAGGTGTGGGGGGAGAAGCAAAGAGAGGCTAGAGAGATAGAAATAATAGGATATGACTCTGAACAAAAAGAGTAGGAAAAGAGAGAAAGCGAAAGTAATAGAGAGAGGAAGAGAGAGAGAGAGCATACACGCACAGAGAGAAAAGGCGGAGAGTGAACTGAGAGAAAAGGAGAGCGTGTGGGGAGAAGCAGAGAGAGTGGGATATGGTCTACTCTCAACAGAAAGAGTAGGGAAAGAGAGAAAGCGAAAGTGATAGATAGAGGAAGAAAGAGAGAGAGAGAGAGCATACACGCACAGAGAGAAAAGGCGGAAAGTAAACCGAGAAAAATGGTGGGGGTGTGGGGAGAAGATGAGAGAGGCTATAGTGATAGAAATATTAGGAAAAGAAAGATAAAGCGAGAGTGGAAAGGAGAGGGAATGAGACAGATTACACGTACAGAAAAGACCAAGATTGTAGATAGATAGATAGATAGATAGATAGATAGATAGAGAGAGAGAGAGAGGGGAGAGAGAGAGAGACAAAGAGAGGAAGAGAGAATGCAAAATACGACACGAAGAAATTTAAATATAGTTACCTATTCTCTTCTTCAAATACAGGGATTCTTTGGTTTTTGCCGCAGTCATTAGGATATGCCCACGACCAGATCTCTTGGTCAGCCGTCTATATATTGTTGAACGTGAAACCACCCCTGTATATATAATTCTTACATTTTTTATTTGATTAAAAATAATTCAAGTCAGCACATAAATAATTAAATGGGTCACACTACTACATGCCTATCCAGACGACTTACGTTACACCTATCTGACAACAACTCCATCAGAATCCATTTAAACACACACACAAACTTACCATACTCCATTCGAAACATACTAGTAGAAAATACAAGCATAATAACCGCATCCACATGTAAAAACATATTAGAAGCATTAATAATAATATAATATAATAAAAAAATAAAATAAAATAATAAAATAATAAAAAAGCAAAAACACTTAATAATAGTAACTAGGAACACGGCCACAATGTGATAACACTGTTCGGAAAATAAAACATCCCTATAACTCTAGATACATACACACAACCCATACATGCAGTTAAAAAGCAAAAATAAGATCATAATGGCTAAAAGTAGAGTCGAAAGCGCTCGGAATTATAGAACATTTGGACTGTTTCTACACACACTGTGTCTTGTTCAAACACAAAAACTTGAATAAAACCCTTAATCGCAGTACCTTGTCTGTCGTCTTTAATGAAACATGTATAAATAAAGGATTCCTGCCTAAATACACTATATATATATATATATATATATATATATATATATATATATATATAATAAATAATTTTTTTCCTCCTACCCCTCATTTTCTCATTTATTTTCTCCACTCTCCCCATATTTTATCCTCTCACTTCCAGTGTCCTGGTATATTGGAGTAATTTTCTTTGCCTTGTATATCTTGCTACTTGACTCATAATACCTTACGGCCGAAACCCAGGTTGCGAGGTTGGTTGGCATTTTAGCCTTTTCTTATATATATATATATATATATATATATATATATATATATTGTTGTGGATTCCGAGATGAAATTCGGTCTCCAATGAATGACAAACGCAGGAATTAAAGATAAGAAATAAAATGTATTTACACAATAATACAAAGGGTAATACTGTTAGTAAATCCAGGAACGTGGTTAGTAGCAATAATATATATATATATATATATACAGTCTCGAAGTAGGACGTCCTTAGAGTCTACGTGCTTGTAACTGTGACTTCTACAAGCGGTTACCTCACACTATTACTCTACCTCCAACTCAATCACAATCTCAGCTCATTCTCTGTCTATTCTGACTGACTCTCGGTATTTAACGGCAGCAGTCCAAGTAACACTCTGGTCGAGTCCACTTATATGAAAAAAGGGAGGACCCCATAACATATATATATATATATATATATATATATATATATATATATAATTTTATATGCGCAGTGCTTATTGGAAAGTGCTAAATATCAGTGAATTCAGTTGTATGGATATGAGTTTGTGACCCTGCGTTTCATGCTTTTGCGATCATCAGATAAATTTGCCTGATGAACCCAAAAAAGCGAAAACCCTGGGTCACAAACTCATATCCATACAACTGAATATATATATATATATATATATATATATATATGAAGAAATATACTCTTAAGAGTGCTATGTCTATGGGATAATGTACTCAATATCAGAGATAGAGCGTGTGTAAATATAAAAGTGAACATTGAAGTCAACACTTGGAGGCCGCAGACTGTTTCATTCAGGTGGCCTGGCGATTGCGTCTAGCATGAAACAGACTGTCGCCTCTAAGTTCAATGTTCATTCATATAAATAAATATATATATATATAATTGTTATATAAGAATAAAGTATCGCTGCCGACACTTGTGTTTGAACATTGATCGCCAATTATTGAATTAAGTGGATCACGTGACCATAGAAAAAAGCGTAAGTAGAAAGTAGTGTGACGTCTAATTAGTCGCTATTTCTAATCTATCCTCTATTTCTATTCGGATTTTCATTTCTACTCTATCTTCTATTACTATACGGACTGCTATTCTCTACTCTATTCACTATACTATTCCTTTATTCGGATCACTATACGGTTGTTGCAATTCGAGCGAGTATTATCGAGCAAGTACTATTAGTGTGAGTGACATTCGAAGGCGTCTGACACCAGTATTGTTCTACGGCGTAACTGTTGTGGATTCCGGAGATGAATTCGGTTTCAAAGCAATGACAAACGCAATAATTAAATATAAGAAATAAAATGTATTTACACAGTCATACAAAGAGTAATACTGTTAGTAAGTCCAGGAACGCGGTTAGTAGCAAATACAGATGGATATATACAGTCTCGAAGTAGGACTTCCTTAGAGTCTACGTGCTTGTAACTGACTTCTACACGAGGTTACCTCACTATCTCCGTTCGTATATTCTCTCAATATCCATCTACCCTCTCTCCCTGACTGTCTAACTCTGGGTATTTAACGGCAGAACTCCAAATAACACTGGTAGAGTCCACTTATATGAAAAGAGGAGGACCCCATAACAGTAACTATAGTTATATCTGCGATTACAAAGTCTCTACTACAACGAGCATTACGAAAATGACAACGAGTATTCGCTGACATTACAAAAGTGGTAATGAATATTCATTGACATCACGAAAAAGATTATAGTTATCAGAGAAGCAAGTAAGAGGAAGGGAGTTCCACCGTCGGGAAGTGTGAGATAAGAAGCTGTTGGAGTAGAAGAGTCGGACTTACAGCTGGTATCCCGTCACCACCACTTGCTTTATAAGAGTGAAATTTAAAGATGATGTCTAATACCACCGACGGGGTTATGTACATCTCACTCAGTATAGCCTCAGTTCTAGGGAGAAAATCAGGTGTGGGTACTCTGGTTGAGTCGAATAGTGAAAGCAGAATAACATAGGTTTATTTTTTATTACTTCAAAGACATCACAAAAATAATAATAAAAAGTGATCTCAAAGAGTAGTCTGTAATATGTTTCAGCATTTCACTAATTATAAGAAGTCTTACTTGGATATATATATATATATAGACCAAGATAGATAGATAGATAGATAGATAGATAGATAGATAGATAGATAATGAACAGAATGAGATAGATAGACAAATAATGAACAGACCGTGATAGATAGATAGATAGATAGATAGATAGATAGATAGTGGGTACATTATCTATATTTATGAATATCTATCTATCTATCTATATATATATATATATATATATATATATATATATATATATATATATATATATATATATATATATTTGTGTATTTAGGCAGCTATCCTTCTTTCATGCACATTTCATTGGAAACGACAGACATGGTGCTTTTATTTATTTTTATTTTTATACAATTTCTCAGGCATGAAAAAAACTAAATAAAACACATTGTCTGTCGTTTTCGATGAAAATATATATATATATATATATATATATATATATATATATATATATATATATATTTAAAGGGTACATTATCTATATTCTTATAGATACAAATAGTTTTTAAAAACTTAACGAGGAAGATTACTCAGCCTTGGAGTTAGAGCATATGTAGCTATTAAACAAATGGATATACATATATCATTTCTCAAGGCAGAAAACTGACGATCTTGCAATGTTGCTTTCTATACACATATGCCTTTTATTTATTTATTTATCTATCTATCTATCTATCTATCTATCTATCTATCTATCTATCTCAGTCTATTCAGATATATATATATATATATATATATGTGTGTGTGTGTGTGTGTGTGTGTGTGTGAAAAATATATAGAAAATAGGAAAGAACTCGTTAGGTAAATAATCCAAAGTATTTTTTGTTATTATTTTTTTTAAAATAGTGCTCGATACAAAAGTAGAGCATAAATATAATTATTTATTTAAAAATATGATTCAACAAATTTTTGGAAGATGGAACAGAGCTTACTTTTAATTCAATTTAATTCAAATAATTATATTGAAGTTTTCGGCTCTTGTTTTGAAACATGAGAACTCTTATGTAGCGTGTTGGAATCATATTTTTAAATAATATATATATATATATATATATATATATATATATATATATATATATATATATAAGTACACTTTTTGATTCTAATGTACAACTGAACTTATGTCTACGTCTTACAGAAGGTACTGAAGACAAAGCGAAAAGAAAAGATTAAACATCAATTGCAAGAAGACAGAATGCATGGCTGTACGCAAAAGGGTGAGTCCAAAAGGCAAATTGCAAATTGGGGATACCAAAATCAAACAAGTACAAAAATTTAAATATCTGGGAAGCGTTTTTCCAGAAGACAGAAACTGAAATCCGATGGGGCCTTGGGATATTGAAAGGTGCCTTCCAAAAGCTAAGATAAGTATTAAGAAACAGAAAAATTTCGTTAGAACAAAAGAAGAGTAATACGTTACGTGATATCTGTCCTCGTACATGGCAATGAATGCTGGACGATCTCCTCAAAGCTAAAGAAGAGACTTGAAACAACAGAAATGTAGTTCTACAGACAGATGTTGAGGATACGTTGGATCGAACATGTGAGCAACGACAAGTCTATTTAGACCTTCTTACCAAAGGAATATGGAGGGAATGTGGCTGATTCAACAATGTGGACGCATATATATATGCGTGTCTTCACAGGAAATGTCTGAGCTGATGCCCGAAAGAATGAAGTACGTCGGAACATTATCTATGAGAGTAACGATAGAGGAGTCTGTAAGAAATCATCTGTATGGGAGTAGATATGGAAAAACAGAAAAGGGTCTAAGACAAGGAAGAGTCGTCTTACCGGACTTATTCAACCTATACAGTGAGGCGATACTGAGAGAACTAGAAATCCTACCAGGATTCATTGTTTGGCGTCCATAATCTTAATATACGATATGCAGATGACACAGTGTTGATGACAGACAAGGAAAGAAAACTGCCAAAAAAATTACATAAGGTACTGAAAGCAAAACGAAAAGAAAAGATTAAACATCAACAGCATGAAGACAGAATGCATGGTTGTTAGCAAAAGGATGAGCCCAAAGTGCAAATTGCAAATCGGAGGCACCAATATATGGAAAGTGTTTTCACAGAGGACGGAAAGTGCAACACTGAAATCCGAAGGCGTATTGGGATAAAGAAAGATGCCTTCCAAAAGCCAAGCAGAGTAATAAAAATAGGAAAATTTCGCTAGAAACACGGAAAAGAGTGCTAAAAAGATATGTGAATGGATAGCGGCTCGGATTGAGGAATCGCGAGCAGAGTTCTAGTCGAATCCATTGCATTCGCTTGGGAGAGATAAGATAAGTATTAAGAAACAGAAAAGCCTCTTCTTCTCCCCACAACTATGGGTAAAGAGCAGGACAGACGGGGTTCTATAGCCTTGGATGGCAACTGATCTACCGCAGAAAGAAATGGCAACCTACTGCAGGAAAAAAATCTGCCTCGTCAGACATATATCGAAAGATACATGATCGCCTAAACATGTATCACGCATGGCACAAAACTGACTGACTTTCCAGTCGAATCCATTACAGTCACATATGTGCTGATACACTTGGGAAAGGTATGAATTCTCCTCCCCCAAGCTATGGGTAAATAGCAGGACAGACCGGGTTCTATAGCCTTGGATGGCAACTGGTCTACCGCAGAAAGAAATTCACTTGGGAAAGGTACGAATCCTCTTCTTCTACCCACGCCCCAGCTATGGGTAAATAGCAGGACAGACCGGGTTCTATAGCCTTGGATGGCAACTGGTCTACCGCAGAAAGAAATTCACTTGGGAAAGGTACAAATCCTCTTCTTCTACCCACGCCCCAGCTATGGGTAAATAGCAGGACAGACCGGGTTCTATAGCCTTGGATGGCAACTGGTCTACCGCAGAAAGAAATTCACTTGGGAAAGGTACGAATCCTCTTCTTCTACCCCACGCCCCAGCTATGGGTAAATAGCAGGACAGACCGGGTTCTATAGCCTTGGATGGCAACTGGTCTACCGCAGAAAGAAATTCACTTGGGAAAGGTACGAATCCTCTTCTTCTACCCACGCCCCAGCTATGGGTAAATAGCAGGACAGACCGGGTTCTATAGCCTTGGATGGCAACTGGTCTACCGCAGAAAGAAATGGCAACCTACTGCGGGAAAAAAATCTGCCTTGTCAATCATGTATCGAAAGATACATTATCTCCTAAGCGTGTATGACGTGTGGAACATAACTGACTGATATCTTTCCTCCTTTTTAGCAGTGAGTGCTGGACGATCTCGTCAAAGATGAGACTTGAAGCAACAGAAATGTGGTTCTACAGAAGTATGCTGAGGATGCCATTGACCGAGCATGTGAGCAACGACGAAGTTTTGGAGAAAATGGAAACAAAAAGGAAACGAATACTTAACATCAGGAAGAGACAGTTGAGGTTTCTTGGGCATATAATGAGAAAGGAGGGCTTGGAAAATCTGATACTCAAAGGAAAAAAGAGGGCAAAAGGAAGTTGTGGAGAGCCGTAATCGCCTACATCTTAATAGGATACGATACATAAAGAAGAAGAAAAATATTGGACCTTTATCTATATTTTTGAACCTAATGAGGACTAAACCTATGTGTAACGTTTCCGTCAATGTCAAAACGGAGCTATGTCGACTTTTTTTTTACACTAGCGTAAAACCGTTTATTAGGCATTAAATTACATCACTTAGCATCTTCCATATTTTATTCAAACTTTTTAAATCTGTTAAATACTCACTTTGATCGTTCTGATAAGAAACGAACTCTCGAATTTGTTTGTAAGGGCCTCAGACTCAGCACGGAGGCTTTGAGGAGGTAGTGCTGCCCTGGGTCAAAAGGGTAGCTGCTGGAAGACCCTATGTCTGGCAAAAGAACCCTGCACCATGTCACACAAGTAGGAGAACCCAGTCATGACTGTCAAACAATTTCTGCGACCATACCACCCCTTACACCTGGCCACCTAACTCCCCAGTCTGCACCCCCCCCCTTGATTCTTATGTGTGGGCCGCATTTGTCCAAGAGACAACAAAACAACTTATAACACCAAAGATGAACTGAAGGCAAGGATTATGACAGCATTCACCAAGTTAAACTAGGTGACCGTACAGAATAGTTGCAGGAGATTCAGACGTCCTCCGGAGGCCTTGATTGAAGCCAATGGCGATTTTATTGAATAAATTTATTCAGTATTTCATGATATATGTTAAAATGAGATCTCGGTGTTATTTTCATTTTGCGTAATTAAAACTACAATTTATGCATCGCACCATATATATATATATATATATATATATATATATATATATATATATATATAAGAGAGAGAGAGAGAGATAGGTAGATAGATATAACCACTGAAATAAATAGATATATAGATAGGTAGGTACGTATGAATTGAGATAGATATATGATATAAATATATATATATATATATATATATATATATATATATATATATATATATATATATATATAAAAAAAAATATATGGATATAAATCCGACAGTATGAAGTATGTTCTTTTAATGTTAATATGTCAACGTCGGACGTTTCGGTCTAATAAACAACATAACATTAAAACAACATAATTGTATATAAAGATTTTTGTTTGTTTTTTCCGTATATATTTTTCTTCATATATATATATATATATATATATATATATATATATATATATATAGTCAACGACGAAATTATCCGTACCCGCCCCTCATAAATTTTGAATATTTTTATCCATTCCTCAGAATCTAATGCCCGTACTACATACATACATACATACATAAAAAAGTCAGGAGGTGAGTTGAATCCGCTCCGTTGGATTCAACTGATCGGATTTTTAAAGCTACATCTGATTTATTTACTTCATTTTTTCACACGTGTATTGAGCACTTTTTAATGCTACTGCTACCTGATCTACCATTACCATTTTATGTAACACTGGGTTTCATGCTCTCTGCAATCGTCAGACAAAAAAATATGCTAGCTCTATCAATAATATTGAGCGCTTTCCAATAAGTACCGCGTGATATAATATATAAATATAAAAATTGCATTTTATATTTATATATTATATCACTTATTAATAGCTCATATATATATATATATATATATATATATATATATATATATATATATATATATATATATATGATATATATATGATATATATATATAT